GAGCAAATGTATGTAAGTCTAATATAATGTCTTTCAGCTTAAGGAAACACTTAACCTGTAAGCCGCAGTCGGTGTTATTATTGTAGATAACAAAAGCAAGTTACAATTTTTCAACAAGTTTAAAATACAGAAAATGATGTGCTGACACCGAGTCTGATGAGTCAGCGTCACGGTTAGGGAGCGAGAGCGCGGGGGTGAGCGAGGGGCGGCGGGGTAATGATGCAGAAAGATATACTCGTGCTGTGGTGCATTTTTCAGTGGAAAAATTTATGTTTTTAATGTGTGCGGAGAGTTTGTTAATGCATTAATTTTTCATATATGATATACACAAAGGAGGTTGGATGCGAGAGACACAGCGCGGGATCGCGCGGTACAAAATAATTTGCATAAAATACATAGAATCTTACGCGCAAGCAACAAACGTCACCGCGTCACTGCGACTGTTATATACGTAAATACACTGATTGTACAATAAAGCAGCTTAAGGTGTGTGGTCAAACTGGTGAGCGATTGATTTGACCGAACATAATTAATGCCATCACAGTACATCAAACAATTGCACCGCGTAATAAGCAATTATGTGCCGGCTTGTTAGCGGCCGCCGCAGACCGCGCGCGCCACGCCGCGCTACCGCCGCCGCGCTGCCGCCGCCGCCCGCTCCATCCGTCAACAACTCGTTAATGAAAGATTAATATAATTACTAACACCGCTAAGTTAGGTTAAATAGATTTTATTTGGAGAAATTACACTTTGACTTTCAGAAAGTGTGGCCACCACGTGTCAAGCAATGGTACAAGTACTGCTAATTCATATAAATATTTAGAGTTGAGTGAATTTTTGAATTTTTATTTCATTTGGTATTAATTTTGCAGTGTGAGATGTTGTCTTTGTATTTAATGTCGTCGTCCACGGCGTCAGATCAGATACAGATCAGGAAGGCAGTACATGAACATTTTGTGTGCATCTCAGTCGTAATAACCTTTATTAATAACTGTGCGAGTGTTTGTGTGCCAAATGAGTAAATTAGCATTACATGTTCGCGTGTTCTTTGACGTCAGTTTTGCCGACGAGCCTTTGATTGAAACGCGGCGCCGGCACGTTACGTGCCGTCGAATAACATCATATCTTTATGTCATAATCTACTCACATGTGATTTTCCATATCGATTGTGGGAATGTGTATTAATGTTTTCAAAATGTATTTTGCAAAATAACTTTTTTATTATTATCGTTATCACTTCAGCTTATATCTTCTTGACAATAATCAAGAACATGGGTAAGAGAGAGAGAGAGGCAGATTTTTTGTTATTATTGAATAAGAGCACGTTTTTAACGACTCTATGGAAATCAATACAAATTTTTAATACTAGCTTCACTTCCTTACACTTGCTTTATACCACACTTTTCTTGAATAAAAGCGCAGACTACGTTAAATGATAAGGTTAAGTCAAAACACGTCCCTCAATAATAGATTAATAAACTGTAATATAAAATCATTATTAACACTTTTACCGCTGCGCGTGCCGACGTCACAATAACGCGCCGATGTCAAAATAACACGCCGCCCGCTGCCGACACGTTATAATTTAATTTGCGTTGCGGCGACGAGCTTTATGGCCCGGAAAGATATTCTATCGCTGTAGCGCCGTAGCGGCGTAGCCATGTAGTAGTGTAGCGGCGTAGGGCGGTGATGCGGCTCACCTTTACTATATTATATGAGGAAAAAGGCGTGTAAAGCAAGCGCGTCGCAAGCGGGGAGACTGGTGTCTCAGTAAGTGGCAATAATTAACTGAAACGACCTCGCAATGGAGAGCCTAATGCTCTTCTTGAACAAATGTGTAAATGAATACAATATTAATTGGTGGTATAAAGT